CAGAAACCACAAGTATATTTGTTTTTTTTTACTGTCATACAGAACTTGGAAAATGCAAGAAATACCAAGAAATTGTCATTGACTGTTTTGAATTTTTAAATTCGATTTCTCAGTAAAATGCTGAGTATGCAGTTTACAGCCAATTAAATTTTAGTATAATAAAGGGCAAGTTCCAAGGCGCTAAAAATTACCTTCGATTTTTCATAATTTTATTTTGTTTTTGCCGAACACAATCTTTTTTTATGTTAAAAAAGATACGAGACAGCGAAAAAATATACTAATTTTTCTGAGAAATCGAATTGAATTTATTTTTTTTTTAATTACATAGTATATCTTGCATTTTTCTGAGTACTGTATAAAATTAAAATAAATGTATTCTTGTAGTTTTGCTATTGAATGAACTAAATTTTTACGAGAACTATAAATAAACAATATCGCCATAACGCCAGGGTATGCATATTTATACATATGTATTTATTATGTTTCTATGTAGATTGGTTGCCAGTTGAGCCTCCCAATTTAACTGCATCTTATTTGAATGCAAGTAATACTTACATATACATACTTAGTATTATATATATTTTATTTATCCTAAAAAGGCGCGTTGCTTTGCAGCATTTTTATTCCATTATTTAATGCAGATATCTATGTGCAAATTTGTATTTACTTAGTTTAATTGTCTTTCTAGCGTTTATTTTAACGTCGCTTACGTTTCATTTTTCATCTCCATCATCATCTTCATCTCCTTTTGCAGCTACAGCAGAAGCTTAGGTACAACAAACATTCACCAACTCTAAGTATACTCTACATATTGTTGTATACAAAAAAAAAAAAACAAAACCACAAAATTTGTTGTTTGCTGCTGCTGCGGCGCTGCTGACTTGATTGGTAGCGCTATCTGGTCGTGTGTCCGTCCCCTTGGCCGTAGACGATACCGGCGCATATTATGCAACACCTTTCAACTTTTTCTTAAATATATTTTTGTATGCAATACGCGTTGCAGCGAAAAACAATAGCTGCAAATTGTCGCAATAAAATTTTAAATAAAAAAAGTAGGTAAAGGGAATGTGAGTATGACGGCATTAACAAAAACGTCATCACCTCTCAGCGCTCAAAGGCATCATTATTCTTTGTTACCTCAGTTGCAGCGCACAGTGGTTCAAAATTGGCACTTTGTGTTCACAATTCGCAGGAGCCTTAATTTTTCACTCAATTTGATAATTTATTCTTTTGAATGAAAGCTAATAAAATATGCAACTGACCAGTTTAGTCCGGTTTTTGGATTTTGACTAGTTTGTATTAAATTTTTTAGTGCAAAGTGCAGAAAAACTAGAAAAAGTAACAATTTTGAAGAAAATCGATTCTCTTGTTCCAGTTAATAAATGTTACATAATAAAAACTGGTGAAAACAGTTGTGGGGTTCTCCCAAAACGAAAAAGAATTGAAACAAATTATATTAAAAAAAATTTTCCAAAATGAATTTTTTTTAGTTTTTATAAAAATGTTGGGTAGACAGTTTTATATATGATTAAAGTTCGCGTTGATTTTTAATAATATAACAAACGCTTTTATTTCCCATTTAGCAAAAAAGTATTAAAAATCAACGCGACCACTTAGGTACTTTCAAATTGCAATTTATTATACTAAAATTGAATGATCTATAAAACTGCATACCCAACATTTGTCAAGAAACTCCTTTTTTT